TGCTATCACAAAGGAAATAGAGACATACGGCAACACCACCCATTCTTTCACGGCCCAGACTACATGCAAGGTACTAATAGTTCCTGCAACCCTTAATAAGGAATGCTCATTCTTTTTTATTGCTCCTCAGCGCTTGGAACAGACTGAAAGAGAGCCCAACCCGTCAGACAAGAGCGAGAACAGTCGGTTAGAGATAGCGTACATTCATAGATTGATTATTTTGTGTTTCTAGGCGCGTCAATTGCTATGGTCATTAGTCCCGTAAATTTTGTGCATGTTTTTATCACGGGAGGTGGTGATGTTCTTCTGCTGATTGGTGAGATCTGGCGCTGATCTATACGTCGGCATGCGGGGTTTTCCCCGTCCAGATATCCCCCACCTCCGGGGCACCGCCCAACCTCTAAACCCCCGACACGTGTGCTAGTGTTTTGCTAGTAAGCGTGTTAGTAAGGCGTAAAGAAAAGGCGTGGAAGAAAAAGGAAAGATCGCGCGCAGTCCGATGCCCGTTAGTTAGGGTACTGTTCCGGCATTCGCCTGGTATTTATTGATGTGTGCTAGTGTCGAAAATCCTGCCACAATCGGCACTCGAACCCTAGGAATGGTTCAGTATTAATTCTCGAAGATTAACGAAACAAGGGAGGTTCAAAATCTGGAACAATAGTTGAACATACAATTAAAATATTTTATAATTACCAAGTTCTGATCACATATGTTACCATGGACTATTGCATAAAATATAGTTATCCACATTAATTTAAAAACATAATGCATCTCATATTACTACAATTAATGAAACTTTTTTTGTGAAGGGGGACATGCGTGTAATGTTTGCTCGACTTAGCGTTTACATACACTCGCTAATCTTTGCAATTAAAACACGTAATCTCCAAACATTAAAAAAAATTGAAAATGTCCCAGAGGCTTCATGTAAAGTTTTCCCAACATTTAAAGAATGTTTTTCAAAATCGCCGAGCTTCGAGTCGGGTCAGACCAACCAGGGAACATACATTTTGGGGGGAAATGTACGAATAATTTACGGGCTAGCGTGTCTCAGACACACGGACGTGTAGAAAATAGAAAAAAAAACCTTTTCGGTATAAAGGGACTCCAAAACGCGCATTTCCGTTGAAATTTCGAAATTCATTTCCGCAGCATTATGTCATTCTCCAAGCTGCTTATACTGGAGCAGTACCCTATCAAATGGGCCACAGACCCCATACGAACGTTCCTAATCTTCGCCCCTCACATACACTACCACACATGCTGGGAGACTGATCGGAAGCTTAGAGCTTGTCCCAGCTGGGGTGATGCCCCGTTGGAGAGATACCTTGTTGGGGAAAACCTCACTAGCTTATGGTAGGGCAGCACTGTATCTCACCATTCAGTGGGGAATATCACAGCTACCTCCTGAGTACTTCACTTATGTGACTATTGACCTTAGCCGATGATGTGCTCAGAATTGCTAATCAATAAATCAATCTTTTACTCACAAAAGATATAATATATAAAATCCTCAGAATGGCATCAATTATTTCTTATTTAGGGTACTTACACCTCTGTGAACAAAATGTATTAAGAAAAAGTTTTGAGCCATTTTTGAGAAATTTTGTTTTTAATACTGCCATATTTCACTCTAAATTGCACAAAACTACCTTCAACATAATATGGCATTAATTATAGAACTAATCGTGGACAATTTCATTTGATAAAAAAAATGCATACCTTCAATACTGTGGTTGTAGGAAGATGACTAAAAACATTTTAACTTGTGTAATTTTCGAAATTTCAGAGTTAACTGGAAAAATTGGACCTATGCTATCTTTATAAGTGTATTTCACCTGATTATTACAAGAAATTTAAAGAAAAATTTTGAGTAATTTGCTATAAAATTTTGAAGGGGTCTCTGGGGTTTCATGCAAAGGATCCACCAAACTTAAAGAATACTTTTCAAAATTGCTGGGTGTGGAGTTGAGCTAGTGACCAGAGAATATTAATTTCAGTGAAAATCCTATGAATCGTTTAGGTGCTGGTGTTGGTTACTGATGGATGGTCGAACAGTCGTTAAAAAACAAAAAGTTTTTTTTTTCATCAGAGGATCCGGAAAATGTTTATTTCTGTTGAAATCTCAAAATTAGGGTTTATGGTGAAGATTTATGTTGGCACCTGTTTACTCTGTAACTAAAGAGCAAATGGATTCAACAGAAATGGTGGGGCACCTGGGGGGTGGGGTCATGGAGCTTTAATCTCCCCCCCTCCAAAGCCAATTCATATAAAAAATATATCTTTTACTTATTTGCTATAGTAATGAAAGTCAGGCAATATATCAATTGTTTAAGTTATAAACATTAACTGTATAAAAAAAAATAAAAGTACATTCCATATTCAGGGTATATTATAAATCATTCATAAGATCAAAATTGGAATACACTTTGGTAATATGGTCGCCTTATCACCTGAAAGGACTTCAAAAAGCTCTGGACAATTGTCAAAGAAGATCAATGAAATACTTAGAATTTCGAGATATAGATTAATGAAATACTTAGAATTTCAAGATATTGGCAGTTATCTGTCAAGCGAAATAATGATTTTATTAATATCAAAATTTAGTCTCATAAGTTTAGCCGATAGAAGCCAATTATCATCGATTGTCCTCTTCATTTGAGTATTGAGAAATATTACTTTTTGTCCACTGATACAATGAAATGATATCACTACAAGTTCCGCAATATGTGCAACGTTCTGTTAAACTATTTTATAATACCGTCTCAAACGATAGGTATTCAATAGTATTTTTTTATAAAATGTTCTCATCTTATTATTTACATAATTTATAATAGGGTATCTAATCCTAGTTTAAATTGATTAATTTCGAAGATTCATTAAATCACTTATCAAATAAATAAAATTTATTCATTTCACCAAAAACAATTTTAATATAATGAAAACAACAATTCACTTCTAATCAACAATATTCACTTGTATTTCACGTCTAACCGCGGCAGCTGGCACGCATTTAACCAATACTATAAGAAATACTATATCCAAATCAACTTAATTGTATAATATATGTCAACAAATTTGTAACCTGTGCTGTAAATGATAGATATCTTTGCTGACTTGATAGTGACTTTATGCAGTGTCAATAAACTTCATGTAAAACAATAGATAGCTAAGCTCATTTTCTTTTCCATTTATTATTGTGACTAGTCACCATTAAATGTAATTGAGTTTTGTTCATTTTTTTATTGTAACTATTGATGTTATTTTAGTTGATATTACTTTGTTAAGAGTTTTGATCTTTGTTAAATATAAGCCTATCATTGGGCACATCCTGCTGGCTTTGTAAAATAAATAAATAAATGAATAACTAAATAGGTAATAAATAAGAAAACATCAAGTTGGCTGGTCACCTATACCTGTATCTGCTCCCCTCAAGAAAAATCCTGGATACATGGATGCTAGGAGTAAAGAAAAAAGATTAATACATTTTGGAGTCCTACATTATGATTGTCGATATCCAGAAGCCTGATGTATTACTTCATTAGTCTTTTCTGAGCAGGAGAGTAGTAATACCAAAATAAATTATTTTAATACAAAATAAAAGTCAAAACTGAATATATAGTTACCTACATCATGAGTTTTTTATTAAGATATCTACAATATAATTCTGATAATTCAAATAAGTTGAAAATTAGAAAAGTTTAAATAAATCATAATTAAAAAATCCAAATAAAGTACCGAAAGTCAATACTGGGGATTGAAACTTTGTATCCAAAAATACAATGTAAATCAAGGATCAATCAACTTTTTATACTTGTTAATTTAAATGCATTGTTCCAATTTACACAAATTATTAGAATTCTGTTTTCATTGCTCTTTTTATTTCACCATGATATGGAATCTATAATTCATCTTATACTTGCAACCTGTAAAATGTTTGGTACCATAAATAAAATGCAAAGGATGAGAGGGGTTTTGTAGCTAAAAAAAAGACATATGTCTCCACCATATGTCACATACCGTTTTTACCATTCTTTGACTAAATAAATCAAATTAGTTAGCTTGCTTACTGATATTTTGAAATTTGGATTCCTATTTTTCCATATAAATTGAGAACAAGATGAAATGTTCATGACACATTTCATCATCATAAACTTCAGGCTTATTAAGCACCTATATTTCTCATATTTAATCAGTTGACTAGCTGATCTTCTTGTTATTCCTCTTATACTCTTGAGTGATCCATTTTTTTTTTTGGCCTTCCTGTGCATCTTAAGCCTTTCAGGCTTACTATGTAAGGCATCTTTTAGCAATCTTTCATTTTACCTTATGTGAACTTGAGCCTTCTCAGCTGGCTCTTTTTTATAACCTCTACTATAATGTCTTGAGCTACTTTCTCCTGTATCTTTGTCAGTGTGTTCTTGCGATTCCTACTGTGTAACATAGAAATCTCATGCGAGTAACTTCCAGCTTTTGGATGTCTTTACTTTAAAATCCATATTTCTGAGTCATACAGTAGCATTGGTTTTGATGTTATGTTGTAAATTCTTTATTTACTCTCCTTGGTCATAACTCATCCAAAATGCTTCTTAATTATTCCATTAGTTCTGTTAAATTTTTGGTTGAGGCATGTTTCCTTACATGGTCTCCCCTTTGTGTTCACATGTTCTCTTGAGACTTCAGCATGTTTCCAGCAAGCAGTCCTGCACTTCTTGACATTCCCATATGAGCTACACATTTCCTCACAGGTTCCCAAACATGCCACATGTTCTTCCAGGTGTTTCACCAATATTTCTTCCTGTGTACCAATAAATATTTCTTCAAGTCTTCCCCCAAATTTTCATGTGTTTTCTATATATTGCCACACTGTTAATCTGGAAATTCAAAAATTTTATTTAAGTATTATTTTATCACACTCCTTTAGAAACATTACAGTAGTGTATAGTGCAATACTTCCCCTGCTGGATGAAATGGGAAGTTCTGAAAAGCTAGAGTATCAAGAAGAGCAAAAACTCTGAGACAGAATTGCAATTGCCAAAAAATCAAACTTTTTAAATCATTGTCTTAAATGTGAAAATAGCTTCACATGGGAACAAACTTCCAGTGTTTCTAGCAATCCATGTGACAGAACCATCAATAAACATAATAGAACATCCATAAGATATTATTTTGTAATTACACTATAGAAAATATTAATTGTAGCAAAAAACAGGATTTAACGCTTTAGAACACATTGGTTCCTAAGTTACGCATGATGGTAAAGATGTGTGACAGCTTAATATGATTTGCTGGTTGCACGTGAGCTTGATGATCCTAATATGTCATAATCTGCTAACTTGAATGTGTTTTATTTTAAATGCTTAGATATATCCCTGCTGTTCACTGTTCAATGCTGGAGGTACCAATACACTTATAGGGTTTGTTTCTATGGTTTCTCATAAAAGAGAATAATCTATCGTCTTTCCTTAGGCTATTGTACCTTCTTGTTGCAGATGTTAACATTCAATAAATATTATTACACAATTTACATTTTCTTAATATTTTCTCAAGATCACAAATAGATTATTGAAGCAAGAAGCAACAAATCTGTCCACTTTCTGTTTATTAATGCAAAAATAGATATCCAGAGCATCAATGCCATAGTTGGGGAGAAGGCAGTGTAGTGTAGGCTGGCTCACATAACACCAATTGGAAATTTCAATTTAAAATAACAGAATTTGGATGTTTTAATTAAAATGTTAATATTAACAATTGTTTTAGCACTGATGTTGGTAGAGATTTTTACAATATGATTATTATTATTATAATCTGAAGTAATTATGGTAAAGAATGCAACTCCCGTCATTAAAATAGATTTCTGTTCTTTATCCTTGCAATACCAAGGGATGCGTGGACTCCTGCATTACTGTGAAGGGGCTTCAGAGCCCACTCCTTAAAATTTCATTTTATTGATGTTTTTGATAAATTAATAGATAAAACTAATAATATGCATATGCATTCAGATAAAACTAATAATATACATATGCATTCATTCATATAAAAAAAACATCTATTTCTCAATAAAAAGAATCTCTTACATCAATATTTTCTATTTAATTACAATACCTAAAACATTTTTGTGTGAAATAAAGGCATAATTATCTCCATAACGTAATAATTTATTACTATTATTCTAAGACAAACTATTAATATTTTATTAGTCTTAAATATTTCCAAAACATATTCTGTATGTTCAGTTCTCAAGTGAATAGTCATGATTTTTGTTTCTTTACATTCTAAGACGGTGTAATGTTCATTTAAAGTATAACAATTGCTTATGATTTATTCAGCACAGTTTGATTAGAAAGCTTATAATAAATAATATCAATGATTTTCAACTTCCTAAAAAATTGAAATCTGTAAAAGACAAACTCATTGGTGGGCCTTCCAGATCCCCATTAGTAATGCTACGATTAATTGTATTATTGTTCAATTTTGCACGTGATTGAGATTTCCCATGACCACCTAAGTACTACAGTAAGTACAAAATAATTTAAACAACATCAAGCATCTGAGCCTGTACCATTATATTAACAAGCTGCATTGTGATTACTGTCAGCTCTTATTCATTAACTGAATATACTGACATTACTGTATAAACACAATTAAGAATTAACAACTCTTTAAATTAAGGATGTGTTTTTCTGTCTAATCGCAATGTTCACTCATTCATGATGTTCTGGTTCTTCTGATCATCAGTGTTGTCTAAATAAATCAAAATACTATTTAAAATTCATGCACCATCATAGTATATAAAGAGCTTGTATCAGCATTTAGTACTGATTGAGCAGTCCCCAGACCACCTACAGAGGTGAGTGATGTGTCATCTGAAAACTGAGAGTGTACGTTATCTTTTAATTGGATCCTCGATCCCCATTGCATATTGCCAGAGGCAAAGGTCTCCCCTAATGTTGACTTACACATACCAAAATTAATTTTTTGCATGGCAATCATGAATGTAAAATCTCTAAATTCTTAGCCTTTGTTTTCTTTTTATTACTTTAACTTATAAAATATACATTTATATTCATTCATAAATATTACAATTGTGTCTAGGGACTGCTATTTTTTATACCAATCGCTAAACAATTATTTCCCTAATGAAATATTTTGTTAAATAATTTATTTTATGAAGAAAATATCAATAAAGTAATTTAATTGATTTATGGAATTGTTTAAGGGTGAAGAACTTGTATCTCAATCTTGGTTTCATGAAGACTCCTTGTAATTCTTAGAGCAAATGTTCAGATGGTCTTTTGCTAATGAACAATAAACTTAGTCAATCTCCTCAAATGCAATAACCATTGGTTGATATTATAAATTATCATTATTATAAATAAGATAATCACTACATATGTTTATAATAAAAACATTTATAGACAATTCTGTATATATTTGTGCTCGAGTACTGGGTATGAACATTGGCCAAAGTGAAACCAAATCTCTTTGCCACTCTACCAGAACTTTTTATTCAAAAGGGAAGCAGTTATTTAAATGGCTGGAAAACCTCTGATCTAATGGAATGTACAATTTCCAACACATCACTGTCATACAATGTTTGAGGACTAGCCATTTGATTTTTCATGACAATTTTGATTTCCAAATTCAAATAGTAAAAACATAGAGAAACATTTAAATGTCTTATCATCACAGTTTTATACGAAAAAGATAAGTAGTAGTTAGTACAGTCATAGAAGGATGGATCCACAAAAATGGCAACAAAAAAAAAAAAAAAAAAAAAAAAAAAAAAAAAAAAAAAAAAAAAAAAAAAAAAAAAATCTGAATCTAAAATTAAATACACAGCAATACTTGTCTTTTGATGTTTTAAAAGGGGAAATTACCACATAATTTACAATGACCCTCAAAACCTTAATATTTTAAAAGTATCTCTAAATCAATATCACCGCACATTTGTAAATGGCCCTTCCTGAAATCAACCTTACAAATATGGCTTTTAACAACAAACTTTTATCATTTTGTTATTTAGTGACACAAAACCTGAGGAATATCTATCTCCAGAAGATTACTAATTTGGATTACATCAATTAACAAAACAAAATTCTTGAGGTCACCTACATTCAAAAAGAAAAGTTATCTCTGCATCATAAGGTCAAAATGGCAAAGATATTAACAACTTCTGATTAGGTATATTACATTCTTACTTTTTTTCAAACAATGTATTGCTTTGGAAAATTTATTTCCTCTTATGCATATTACACTAGTTTATATTACTATTTATCATAAGAAAAATGCATCCAAGAGCCTTTTAGCAAATAAGACTAAATAAGATTTTGTTGTAAAACAATATTTAACTAGCTTTAACTCTGAATTTTACATGCAATACAGTGTACAGTATATCATTCTGAAAATGAGCTCCAAATATCACAAATCTGATCCCTTTAAGGGACAAACATTCTAAAACTTCATAATCTCATTTCTTTCTAGAAGACATAAGCATACTCTATTTTATAGCTCAAGAACACACACTCACAAGATAAAGGATTTGATATAACAGTTTAATGTGTATGTATATTGGCACCATTACAAAACTATGTCAATACCACTCAAATACGCATAAGTGCCATTTGGCAATAGCATAACATTACAACGCACTAGCAAATATAAAGGACGCTTATACAATTTCTTTACATCACAGATAAGTACAATAAGTTAATCTAAATCTTCAGTCATATGTATATTTAACAATTCAGTTTATGAATTATGAATTTAAGTACTCACACGACTGTGAATGCAACAATTCAAGAAAATCACAAACTACAAAGTATAAAATGGCACATAATTGCACCTTCTCTTACCCAAACGTTTGCTAAATCTAGTGTATGCTTTTAAGTACTTTCAAGAAGATAAGTGGAAGGTAACAATGCATACAAACAGACCATTTAGTTTGTACTTGAAGAATTGTCCTTCATCACAGGTTTTGACAAGAGCGGAGACTGGGAGCCCAAAGAAGACAGTGGCTGCTCAGGGGATCCGACTGCCCAGGGCCTCTGCAGGGCAGGCTGTAGCAGACGGACGGATGGAGAAGGGAAAGATTCCTCACTGCTACTAGGGCTCACCGCAGTACCTTGTGGCATTTCATGAACAGAGTTACTTAACACTAGTCTCTTGGAAGGTGGTGTAAGTGTGGTCGGAAGCAACAGGAAACCTGATGATTGGCTGTCACTCACTGCACCATGGCTTTTATCTTCACACTGCAGTAGATGACTCATTTCTCCACATTCACCATTCACATCGTCATACAAGAACTTTCTACTGCAAGTGTCCATCCTTTTCATAAAATTGTAGGATTCATTGGAATTGCTTGATTTCAGGATACCAACACCATCATCTCCAGTTTTTGAAATGGAGCTTTCAAAAGTATTTGATTTGTCACAGATCACATTATTTAACATTTCATCCCTGCAATCACTTTTGCTCATGCTTCCGACAGTTACTGCTGTATCTGAAATAACTGCATCTTCTTTGAGGTAAGTACTAACATCTTGTTTATTATCTGATATTGACAAACTTATTCCCGTTTCTGTGAGAGGATCAACTTGTTTTCCTCTGCTGCTATCAGAAAGAACACTTCCACAGCACATCTCTGAGACCAGGGCTGACTCTTCTTGTGCTAAAGGAGCCTGACCTGAGCACAATGGTAAGGCAACTTTTTCTGGAGCATTTTGCACAAAAATAACTCTGTTGAAGGCACGCCATCGTCGACAGAGGTGCAAATATGCCTTACACTGAATGTACATGAAGACTAGACCCCCAGTAAATCCAATGGCAACTACTATCAACTTTGTCCAGAAAGGCCATTCAAGAAGACCTCTTTGTATTTCTTCTGCTGTACGATCTATCAAGACATACAGTGACCAAACAACACAAGTTAAGGCCACTGCATGAAAAGTGACAGAACACAGCAACTTCCGACGTTCTACTCCTGACATTTCAAGAGTCTCCCACTAAAAACAAATTACAAATTATTAAAATGTGACCAGCAAAGTGAACACATTAAATGCTTTCAAATATAATAATCACTAAATTTTCTTATTTGCACAAATTAAAATACCTATATATCCTCAATTAACACAGAAATGAACAAGAACAAACAATTTACGAATATACACACTAGTTATAGTTTTGCATCACTTAATGTACAAGTAATTTATAATTCAATATTGATAGTTTAAATAAAATTTTTATCTACTTCATATGCTATTACCATGTCAACCAATTCAAAAATACATAATAAGAATAATAAATAGCACTTAAACTAGAAATTACTCTTAGAAACTTTTATCCTTCATTATCCCTTCACTTATTTCATCTACATGTCTAAATATAAGCATAACTATCTACATCTGCATTATATTCATTTTTGTGCAATAATTTATACTTATTGGTACAGAAACTCGTTAGGTGCAGCAATATTTTTGCAGTGTAAATGAAGCTGTCAGAGTACCTTTCAAATGCCTTAGATATTCGGTCTAAAAAATTTAAAATCCATGATTTTTATTTCATGTTTTTCTTAAATTATTGTTTCTAAACTACTTATTCACATTTTTCGATTTATAAACATAGTTGGATTAACAAAGAAAATAATTAATATAAATCATGCTAAAATTAAAATAAGAGTGCAAATACATAAATTAAGAAATGAATAATTGTAGAGAAAATTTGCATCATCAATACTGTTTGTGCATACTTGGTAAACCATGAAATTTGAACATCACTCTTATTTATTTCTCATTTTCTAGATTATTTCCAATGCAACAATAGACTAATTTACTTATTTAAATTTTTGTTTCTCTATTTACAAACCTCAGTTTTTACAACTACGAAGAGTAAAAAATTTATTTTGTACATATATATAGTGCATAAACATTGCACTCCGTAACAACTATAACAACCTTGTAACAAGAAATATAAAACACTAATAACACATTCTTAATTTTCTCTGTTCTAGAAACCACATTTACAAATACTGCTTACCCTATTCATAAACTAAATAATAAAGAATGTTAATCAAATAATAAACACATACCTCATTAAATGGTTTTATTTTACTATTCATGATAAATTGAAATTTACACAATTCACAGCTTCGAATGTCAGATGATTTAATCCATTGTTGTAAACAAGCCTGGTGGACATAACGTAAAGAACCCGAACAGTAGCATGGTGCAATAAGAGGTACCTCACTGTCGCCTTCACAATGACATATCCTAGAAGAAGTTTAACGAACAATTATGATAATGTTTCAATATTAATAAAATATCTGACTTGAATGATTTTAACCCGCAAAATTTAATAAAATACCCAAATAATTCAAAATATTTTACCATAATAAATATGAATGTTAAGGATATATAATATTAAAAACAACAAAATTATGCCACTGTCCACATTAAAAAAAATAATCTAAAAATCACATCATTTATAAACACAAAAATATTAGTGAATGCCCATATGATTTTTTACAATCAATAGAAATTTGAATTCTGCTCACCTACAAATATCATGCCCATTTGAAAGACTTGATGCCTGAGATGCACACCTCTCAGGTGGATGTGATCCAGACATTGCAAAGACAGTTTCCTAAATATACAACAAAAATCACTATCCTTCCACATACACTAAATTATTGTGTACATCAGCTAGGTGGCTATTTGTGTTCCTTCTGAACAAACTTGAATTACCTGTAATTTCCAGTCATGACTAGTTCTAGTAGTCTGTTCTTTCCCCCATTCCAGAGGAGAAACACTTATTTGTTGTAGAGGCATCGCAGATTTCTGCGACTCGCTATTCTTATTTAATAACACTTTTGTAAGCCCAGTATAACTGGGACATTTTAAATACAATTGATTTACGAATCACTCGAGTTAAAACTCTCCAAACTATGCGTCTTTAAGTATTTCCAAATGAATGCACTTCATACGGCATACTGCGGAATTCCAAACTCTACGGAAGACCACACGGGAAGACATGTTCAATAACAATCATAATAAACAAAACTATACTGCATTGCTCTTGGATTGTAGACCAAGAGAGCGGTCACTATACATTACAACTGAGTTACTGATTCCATAACTTTCAATTGAACTATCATACATAATGACTCAGGAATTTCATTAGATAATTTACAATTTATTCTTACAAAATCTTTTACATAAGCTTACGTCATTGTCGTGTGCATTTTAACAAATGGGCGTGGCAGTGTTGCTGCTGGGCTTTCGTCTGCTATTCCGTACACAAAGCAATACCAAGTACGCATCCAATCAGCTGTTTCCAATGGTTCGAAACAGACACCATGGTTGGAACGAGAACAAGGTAATGAGTGGTTTATCTTGGTCACAGGCGTCTATCACTTGTTTCAATGCGATTAAAAAAAAGAAGCTGCTTGGGTGAGCGTTCCAGAATTGAAAATACCGAAATAGCGACCTTTTACATCCTTTTTCTCTAGTCAAATGCGCAGTTAATAGTTACGTGAAGAGGAAGGCAAAAGAAAGACCCCTACGATTGATGTTTTTTTTTATCGTCGTTTTTCAACATTACCTTCCATCTCCATTTTCTGTGGCATTGTTTCAGGAATAGTCACAATCAAAACAATAGCAAAACGAATTCCTTCTTTCTGGCAGAGAATCTTATCTCTTTGTGCGCGTCAAAGACGATGTTTCTAAAACAAATTTGGCAGTAAAATCTTTCACAAATAGATGGTTTATCTTGGAATTATTATCTCTCATTGCTCATCTTACCCTTATTATTAGAGACAAGAATTAAACATTGTTGAAGTAAATCTGACAGTCGCGGCATCATTGCGCAGCACTATTCCACTGGCAAATCCGTAAAATGTTTTTTCACCACACATTCTATAAACAATAGAAATTTTTGTGAGTTTATTCATGCGTTCTACGAATCGAAAGCCATAACCATTTCTCAGATCTCATAACCATTATTACTTTCTTACATATTTTCTTTCTTTACAAAGTACTTACGAAAAGTCGTTTTTTTTCGATACAAAATCTCATATTGTGGGTGACTAATACAGAAAGAGTGAATAATCATTGCTCTCTATGCAAGAATGTCAAGTTTTGGGATCCTTAATACCTAAAAATTGGTTTACGGCAAAATGTTTTTTTACCCCGATCAATCTAGCCAAACTCAAGGCCCTGCGAATTTAAAACGGATATTTTGATTTAATGGGAGTACTTTATATGAAGCTACAAAAAACAAAGCAACATTTTTAAAATGTTCTCAAAAAGTCTCCAAATGTTTTCTTCAATTCTTTTTTTTCTTTTCTTTCAATAAAGCAAAGCACGCTTATAAAATTGACGCTAGTCCGATTTTCCTTGATTTTCGAAAATGTCAAAAGTTTAAATTGTTTTCGGCGTCTTCCTCATTACAATAATGATTTTTTCTGAATGAAATCTGTAGTTCAAAATCAAAACTTAGTATGAAATAAAGTACAAGTAAAAAAATAGTAGTTTTCGGGTAATTTTGGTAGAAAAAAAAAAACCAACGACAAGAAATAGAAAAAAAGAGGCCAAGAACGAAGCGATTCAATAGAGAGCAGAGTTTCTACATGAATTTCAAAAGTTCAACAAGGAAAGCAATCAAAATAGTTGTCGGTACCTTCCAGTTAACTAGACGTTTAAGAACAGCACATACCTTTTCATATTATTTCTAAAATTGCAATTTCCGAAAATTCAGAGAGTTCGTTAAAATGAGACCTGTTACTTTCTTTTAAGTGCATCTTGTTCTATACGTGAACAAAATTAGGAGTTTTTTTGAGAAAATTTGTTTGTTTTTTTAATTTGCATAACTTCAACCAGAAATTACATGAAAACTGTTCTCGTTTTTCAAAAAATTAAACAATCACTTTTTGAAAGAGTTAATATTTTAGAACATATTTTATTTAAGGCAAAAATCTCGATCTTCAATTCTGTAGTTTTTCGAAAATACAGAGTTCGCCGGAAATGAGATTATTACCAATTATTTTACCGACTTTTGATAGATATGAGAAAAAAATTCAAAGAGAAAACTTAGAACCATTTTTGAGAAAAAAATTGTTTAAAAAATTAATAATACGTATATTTTGCAAAAAAATGCCCGAAAACTAACCATGTTTTCGAAAAATTGTACCTGACTTTATGTCAAGATTTGTTATTAAAAATAAAGTTCATTCAGGAAAATATTTCTATTTTAAATATTGTAGTTGTAGGAAGAGGCCGAAAAAATGTGAACTTTTCCACTTTTCAAAAAAATTAGGGGTTTCAATGAAAAAGAAACATGCACGCTTCTCTTGAGCGTTCTTCACACCATTCTTTTAAGTGTCTCTTCTTTTATCTATGGAAAACATTAAAGAAAAAAAATGGAGTGTTTTTTGAAATATTTGTTTAACAATTAATTACATTTCAAGCGCAAATTACGCGACAACTCGCTTTTTCAAAAAAATGTACATGACCATTTTGACAAACCTCATTTTTTACAACAGACTGTCTGAACCAAAAATCTCTATCTTCAATTTTGTAGTCTTAATTTGTTAACTTTTTGCAATTTTCAAAAAAAATTGAGATCGCCGAAAATGAGACTAGACCATATTTTTTACTGTCGCTACTTACATATAAAGAGAAAATTTATAGAAAAAAATTGGAGCGGTATTTTCGAAAAACTGGACAGGAACGTATTTCAAGAACCGTCTTTAAGGAAAACTAAGATTTACTGAGGGCTAACTACTGACTTTATTAAGGAACAAAATCTTTAATATTAGAGTTGTAGGAAAACGCCCGAAAAAATTGCACTTTTACAATTATCAAAAAATCTGGGATTTAACATGATACCTAGACCATTCTCTATTGTCCTTTATGCTATCTGACAATAAAATTCAATCAACAAATTTTGGAGAAAATCGTCTAAGCGGCTTAGGAAGGCACTAGTATTGACTCAAACGAACGGCAGAAGGGCAGACAATCAACACCAGGCGAATGCCGGGGCAGTACCTTAACAAATGACCCACGGACCGCGCGCGATCCCTCCTTCCTCTTTCTTCTCCTATCCTCACACCTCACCCACATTTTCTTAGGGCCCCTTCCCACGGCGCGACCGCAGCGCACGTCGCAGCAGCGCGGCGCGTAGCAGAGCATTGGTTTGAATGGAGGCCTTCCCACGTGCAGCGGGTGGCGGCTGCTGCGGCAGCCGACGCCGAACTCCAGCTACGCGAAGCCGAGGAGGGGCCACGCGCCACCGCTAGCAGAACACAGCTTTAAATGGGAGCGTTCCCACTGCGCCGCGGCCGCAGCGTTCTACCTGTTCCGGTCCCTTTGTTCGTCGTCGCCGGAGGGTCGGCGAAACCTACCCCTTCAGACCCCCACCCCCTCCACGGCGGGCGGCGGTGCGGCCGTGGCTCCGGCGGTGGCTGCGTCGGAAGGGCTCTGCTCCTTGAAGGAAGCGCGCGGCAGCCGCGCCGTGGGAAGCCGCTCTAACATGCAGTCGGGAGTTTAGAACTTGTCGTGGCCGGGGCGGTGCTGCGCTGGGGAAATACCTGGTTGGGGAAAACCTCGCAAACTGACGGGGAGATCGACGCCGGATCTCCATCCAGCAGACAAGAATCAGCTCTTTCTGCGAGGACAAAAAACAAAATAGACCCACTACACTTATGGACAAATGACCGTAGCAGTTGACGCACATGAAATCACCCAGCAATCAATCAATGGATTTTGACTACACAACGTGTTAGAGGGAATAATTTATAAGAAGATTTATCCACTTTTATTTACCAGGGCCTGTCAAGAGTTTTTCTGTCGAAAAAAGTGTTTCTGACGCACGATTACAATAGTCTCTTCTTATGAAGTAAGGGCAAGAATGTAAAAAGCTTTTCGATGGCAGGCAAAGCTTCTCTCACAAAGCGTACGTAATTCGCATTCTATCTTGTCTTCACATGAGCGCCTGTCAGAGCAAGAGCGAAACTCAAAAATTGTCAAGGGGGCGAATACGTTTTTTAGGTTTTGCAGATCAAAAATAATAAATAAAACGTACTACTGGTATAATTATAATAACATTTTTCAAGAAACATTTTATTTATTTAAATAACCAGAATATAATATTAATATGACTTTTATACATTATAAAACAAGGTTCAATCTGCGGTTTCATTCAAGATCGGCGATCGCCGATCCGACCTTGTGTCAGAGTCGGTGAACTGGTGCAAAACATACGCAACCATCAGATAATGCTTTCCATTAAATGCCTGTATTATTTTACACGTATTATTTCACACAATTTTAATATGAAAATAGCGACTAGACGCATCGCCCTGCATTTCTCAAGAAACAGAAATCTACAAATGCGAGATATATCTGGATTGATTGTTAGTGATTCCGGGCGCGTCTACAACGGAACTCATTAGTCCCGTAAGTGAAGTGCATGTTTTTTCATCGGGAGATGAGCAGTGATCGGCGACCGCTGGATGGCGAGATCCTGCGCAAACCTACCGTCATTTTCCCTAACCAGGTATTTCCCACCAACGGGACACTGCCCCCCGCCGGGAAAAGCCCTAAGCTTTTGACCGGTCTCTCGACTTGTGTGGTAGTGTAGTGCATGTAAGCGTAATGTAAGTGTAAGCGTATATAAGTAAAGGGTGAGAATAAGAAGAGGAAGGAAAGATTGCGCGCGGTCCGGGGCCCGATTGTTAGATTATTTGCCCCGACATTCGCCTGCTGTTGATCGAAGAAACCACGGAAAACTACCGATCAGCGTAGCCGGCCGCCAGAATTCTCATTCAGACAGTGACTGAATTCGACCTAGCTGACAAGTCGAATCGCAGCAACATCGAATATCCTGCCACCGTCGGGACTCGAACTTAGGACCTCCCGGTCAGCTGGACTGCAGTGACATCAGTTGATGCAATGAGCCACCTTTCACGGTGGGATTTATCTGGAGTCATAGGCACCAAGGCGCTTTCACGCCTAACTTCCAATAAAATCTGAAAGGTGACTAAAAACGTGACCTAAAAATAAAAAAATAAAAACAAATAGTCTGGTTAGTTACTAAACCTAGTTTATAACTCAAGAAGAGATGGACCAATTTTAATTATCTCTGATTTGTTGGATTCATCTCCGCCCCAAATAGCAGAATATCTACTAAAATATCGGAAACGTTCGTGAAAACAACACCCAAAACTAAATATTCATGTCAAATGCAACCCGCAACTCACGACAGGATTTTTTACAGAATCGTTAAATAACTTCTAAACAAAGCGTTCTAACATATTAAAACTAAAATTTTGAGGCAACAGGCATAAAAGAATCGTTTCTTACGCCGTTATATATATATATATATATATATATATATATATATATATATATATATATATATATATATATAGAGAGAGAGAGAGAGAGAGAGAGAGAGAGAGAGAAAGGGAGAGGGAAGGAGGAAGAGGGAGATGAAGGGCACAGCAACTTGCTGAATTCCGCTAGTAATTAAATAAAACAAAACCTGTAAATGAAACATTTATAAATTGTCACCGGGAAAATTGTGTTTAAAAGCCAATTCCGGGCGCGCAATGCAAACGACTGCGGCACTCCCAGTCGCTACGATGTCTGTCATGGTGCTGGGCGTTTCCCCGTTTTTCGGTTATCGGTGAAACTGCCGATTACTTGTCTATGAGGAAAACATTCCGCGCTAGAAATGTGTGTCTGCAATGGCGTGTCAGCCGGTTTGAACTGCGAACCCCCAAGTGGCATTTAAACCCAATTTTCTCGACGACATTTTTTTCGGAAAAACTAAATCTTCTTTTCGTAACAATTCGAATAAGAGTTTTTCTAGCGAATATTAGCCGTTTTCCAGAGCACGATGACATAACTTGCTCTTCTTACGAAGAACTTCATTCGTCGAGAAAGTAAAAAGAATCTGAGGTATTGTAGTCACGATTGTTTCCGGAGAAGAGGGGAAAGAAGGGTGGATTAAGAGTGACTGAAGACAGAGGACCTGCGGTCTGCAACCGAAACTTCTATGGACAATGCGCGAAGGCCCGGGCCAGTGCATATGATACATTGTAGGCTGTGCCGCGGATCGGGCTGCTTGATCTCGTTGACATGGTCTCGTCGAGTACGCACGGAATCTGCCAAAAACCTTCGTTTTTTCGTTTCTGCCACAGAAAAATCGTGAATGTGACCAAAAATCGGAAATGGGGTCGGGAGTGCTTACCCCGTGCTTGGCGAGTTCGAGAACCGAGCGCTGTAAATGGTACTTTTTTGCCCTCTTATAAACGCTTAAAAACTCTAAAAATTTGTGAATATATAAGATACATAGTAAAATTATTCATTAAATATTAATTTTATATCGTTCTATTTTTGGCGTACAAATATAAAACCTTTTTTAAAACGCAATTACTCGAAAGGCAACATTTTTAAATTTATGAAAATCTGCAGTAAATTATCAAAATATGTTTGTTTTAGAGTTACGATGTTTGAAATAAAAACTTGCATTTTCTCCAACTATTTAAAAACAAATAAAAAATGATTTGATCTCTAAAGCATAAAGAAATCTAATGTACAAGGGAAAACAATATAGACCAACAATTCTAGATTTTTTTTCTCTAGAAAATATTATTTTCAAATTCAAAGGGTCGCGACATTAGTCACATTGGGGAATATCAGATTTGGAGAAAATTGGCTGAACGGTTTAGTTCGCTAGCATTACTCAGACGGACAGACGTTTTGCCGTCAATCGATTTTTCGGTATCAAGGACCCACATAACATGAATTTAGGCTACACCACGTTTGAGAATATTTATTTTTCTATAATTAGCAACTGTATTTATCCAGATTTTCGATACCACATCCCGGCAATAAGTTTTTTCTGAGTTTCGCCGTTCTTTCCCGTTGCATCGCGTAACTTTCTATTGTGTAAGCAATAGCGAGAAAGTAAAAACGACGTGAGCAATATATAAAGAAAATTACATTTGTGTAATTTTTGAAAAATTACATCAAAAATATGCCTATGTCGTGTTTATGGCAGCGTGTGTAACACTATCTGCACAAAAACTTTAAAGAAAAAAAATTGAGCCGTTTTTGAAAAAAAAAAAACAACTTTTTTTTCAATTTTTTACAATACTACCCATCATTTATTCAAAATTACATGAAAACTTTTCATATTTTGAAAAAAGTCCTCATTTAAAGATATAATTTTGAAGAACAGATTGCATTCAGAGGAAAAATCTGTCTTCAATGCTGTAGTTGTAGGAAGACCAGTAAACATTGACATTTTGCAGTTTTCGAAAATGTAGTTAATTTATACTGTGACCTGCGCTATTTTCTTAAGCGTCCTTTACTTTTTCCGAGGGTAAGTTTAATAAAAAGAAATTGGAGCCATTGTTTAGCCAAATTTGAAAACGTCCTTGAGGCTTCATGTAAAGTACCCCCACAAACTGAAACATCGCTTTCAAATTCAAGGCGCTGTGACGTCAGTCAGATTGAGTGGGAAAATCCTGCTTACGGTTTAGCCGCTGGTGTTGTTCAGAGACTGACGGACAGACGTTTTGCCGTAAACCTTTTTTTCGGGATCAAGGACCCACAAAATATTACACCAACATTTGCAGCAATTACAATAAAAATCATGAAATGAAATATAGTTAAAACATGTCCAAACAGTAATGGGTGTTGCAATGTGTTCTCCTCATTTTGAATTTCTAGTCCGTTTTTATTTTTGTATGAATTCTATTATCTGTAGTTGAAATAATGGAAACACTTGTTTACTGGAAATCAAAGCCAAAAACATGTGCACTGGAGATGAGCACGAAATGGACTGTACCACCTACGCATAAAATTGTGTAAGTAATTTTCAAAACAGACTTTTATTAAATTTAGTTTCAAATAATTAACATGAGTTGCTTACGTTTGTTTTTTTTAAATTAATGTTCTGCATTTCGGGTATTACATTCCCGTCATTCGATGGAGCTGCAACCTCCATTTTGAGGAGGCACCGGCCTCTATTGCTTCCAGGCATGAGGGTATTGGAAAATAAATTTAGAATAAGAAAAACTTAGCTCGGCATACTCGTGCGAAAGTCCATTAAGTATTAATTTATATCACCCTTATTACTTAAAAATGTCGTTGCTGGAAGCGATGACGCAAGAAATGTATTTCAGAAGAGAGAACGTTATGAATTGGCGGCTATGTCTCGGAGACATAACACTAACGTTCTAGGGTTAATAAAATGAACACGATTCCCATAAATTGCACACTACTTTCTATACGTTTATGTACGGTAATTGACAGAAAATACCCATGGAAAGAAAGCTAGCCTAACAACGGAATTAGACCAACGCAAATATTTGATCGAATATGCACCCGAAAGCTAATGGGCATAGCCGGAACGGGCTATGCCTGCTGTGACAATTTCATTGTAATAATCACAATGTGCACCTCAATCGTACATAATCTTCGGTTGCATTACCCATAATTTTTCAACGCTTTGCAAACTATTTTGATCAATGATTTGCCCGAAATATGACTAAAGAATGCAAGTTCCCTTTTCATGACGTAAGGCGAATGATCGATCCAACAGACATTCCTTTCCATACTACTTCAGACTCAATAATTTACACTTCAGCATGTTGGCCGCAAATGTGATCCTCAGAAATAATCGAGGCGTGTTTTCATATGTAATTAATTATCTAACTCCTGTAATTTACGTTTTAACTGCTGCTTTGCTGTAGTTTTGAATATGGTCTGGTTAACAATAAAGCAACAATGTTGGCACACGTACAAACATAACGTATTGCATTTGTTGCGTTTCACAATGGGCAAGTATAAATGTAATGTATTGAATGTCGATTATTTTCCATTTCCGGGTATCGTGTTTACTCGATATTACGAGCATATTATGCTCTTCAAAAATATGTGTGATCAGTTAATATCAGTAAGTTGTACTCGTAATCCTAGTATTGTTATCAAAATGTAATTTTGGCCAATTTTTTTCAAATGTTGAAAATATAAAGGATCTTGCACACAGTAGTTTTTTATTGACGTTCATACTCTCTACCATCGCATTCTAATGCGAACGGTATTTATAAGGTAGATTTATAGTTGGCGCAATTTACTGGACACAGTAAAAAATAAAGAAAATACATTACTTTAGTTTATTTTTAATATTAAAAGTGTATGTCGTGTTATTGCACGAAATTCCATCATATTTTCAGACGTGACTAGTTTGTTCCAATAATTAAAATGCAAACTGGTGCCCTTGTGACAAGAGATATGTCTCCAGAAAAGAAAAAAGTTGACCTTGACAGGTAAACCCAATCCTTTTTCAATGAGTCTTTCAAGTGAAATATAACTCACGATTGTCTGCACCATTCTCATTGCTCTGCACATGAAGCCCAATTTGTCTTACTGTTTACAGGAATTACAGTGAAGAAACCTTTTACACTGATTCTAGTGAAGACATGCGTTCAAAATGTAAGAGCGCAGCAACATTGCTTCAAAAAAAGAGGCAACTCAGACCTATTAATGGTGAGCTGACTTTGAAATACTACTACTAATAATAAAAATATTATCAGGGTCATGCTAGTATTATAATGAAAGTCATTATTTTTTTGTTACTTTATTTTCTTTCCTTTTAATTATGTGAACATTTGATTGGGACTTTTTAATGGAAAATACATGTTTTTAAAAGTAATATTATCCAATGAATATTTAATGATCAAAAAATACAAAAGCCATTGCTTCACTGCTTAAGAAATTCCATTGCATGGTAAATAACTTCCAAACAATTTAATTATTTGGCTAGTTATTCTCTCATTGCCTCAATTTCTTACAACTTTAAAATTATTGTTTTTCTTGATTTTTGTTATAGTTTTTTCAAGTTGCACTCATTGTAAATCTGAACAACTTATAAATGTTTCATTGGCCTCTTTTTAAGATAGGCAAAGTTTTCAAGTTTGGAATTTTTGCTTCTATGTGTTTCTCCAAAATAAATTAATTCTTTTATTTCTTGTCATGACCAAAATATTTTTATACTTTTCCAATTACCTTGACATGAAATTTGGAAACACAACTGTGATTTTCTTGAATATGTTGACACAATTTCTAGTGAATTTCTCAGGTACAGGCAACCCATACAGAAGTTCAACCAGACTAACATTAACATCATCATCAAAAAATAATGTGAGTTTAGTTGCACAGAAAATAATGTCAGCAAAGTTGCTTCGTGTGAAACAATTGCAAAATGAACTCACTGATGCTCAGTTCCAGTTAAATGTAAGTGAGCTGATATTCTGTTATGTTCATGTTTTCTTCTATAAGTGTTATCTGATTAGTTGTAACTAAGAATGTTGTAACTGTTTTTTGGAAAGTAGTTTATTCGTAATGTAATATAATTTTTATGACTGTTTATTGGAACATTTTTCTGCCTAAATCAAAAGAAGTTCTGGTATGGATTTTTGGATGTAAAGCCTTCATCCTATTTGCCATAAAATCATCTGGAGAACACATTTTTGAATAAAGTATATATACAATTTTTAATTCATTACAATTGCAGTCTTGCAATATAAATAATGAAAAATGTACTGTGATAATTTTTTGAAATAAATTTTTTGAAATTGTTGGGAGTTTTCAGCACAGAAGCAAGCTTTTTTGAATACTGAAATTAATTTAATTTTAGAACTATTGAAGTATATAACACAGATTATGAAGGTGAATTGAAATCTATTTCCTGGACTTAGTTTTCTTCTCTCCTAAATATATCTTGGTAGTCGTGGTCTGTATCTAATCATTTCAGTTTCTTACTGTTTGATTCATTTTTGCTGTTCTAGTGATTTTATTTTTTATATATTTATTTTTTAATTTTCTTGTTGTAGTTGTAGGTCATTTAGATTTTATTGGCATTCATAATTTCAAAGTGAAACTTTGTCATTATTATTTCTTAACGTATTGTAAACAATCATTATTTTCCTAGTTGTATCTAATTTTTTATTTCCGTTTTTTCAATATTCTTTTTCATTATATTTCCTCTGAAATACAATTCTCTGTTCACTTCGATTATTTTATGTAATTATTACATATACTGTTCTATAACTTCCACTTCCTCAGATATATCTTTGGTTGACACATTTGAAATCCCAATTGTCAGTTATCTTTTAGAACATTTTTCTCATGTGCTGAAAACAGTCTCAACAATTACATATACCAAAACTTCAATATGACGCTCTTGATGGCCTCAGATTATCTATTATATTCTTGCTTCTATCTATTATATGCTTTACTGCTTCAAATAATACATAACTGCTTATTGTACTGCTTTAAATAGTAATTATTATTTATTATTCATTTTGATAAATAATTCATAATTATTCATTGATGTTTATTAACCAACTCTCATATTTACATTTCGTGTCCAAGTGCCTTTGAGGAAAGATTTTATGATAGTTTTAATATATAATAAAGAAAACTCTCTTTTTAAGTACTATTTACTATTGGTGGCAGGAATTGTCTACTGAAAATAGAATCTTGAGGACTTTACAAAAACGTCAAGACATGGCTTTAAAGAAATATGAAGGTACTCAAGCGGAGTTACCACAGCTCATTCGTTCTCATAATGAAGAAGTGAGAACTTTGAAGACCAAATTGAAGCAGGTACATTACTGTTTTTATGTTTTCATGTGATAAACACAATGGCTGGAGTCCTCCAAAAGTTTTCAAACGTCCTCAGCAATAGTTCTAATGATATTTCACTTAATATATTTTATATTCCTTTAATAAGAACAATTGCTATGAAACTTATTTTTTAAATAGGCTTTTTCTTCTTTGTTTTTGTTATTATAGGTTAAAAATCAGTGCAAAGAATTAGATAACAATTTGAAGATGAGAGAAACTGAATTATCTGCTCTCCAGGAGCAGCACAGACATCTCATAAAATTATCAAAAAACAAACATTTAGGTGAACGTGAACAGCTGCAACAACAACTGGAGCATATGCAAGACTTACTGAAGGAACAAGACAAGAAAATACAAGTAACTATAAATCTGCAGTGGAATAGTGAATAGAATTTTATTATAGTATATGTAGAGACAGGATACAATGTATGTTGACACAATTATCTCCCCACATTTTGTCATTTATTTATTTGAATTGTTATTTACTTGTGAATCTTATTATTTTATCCCCTGCTCACAGACATTACTAATATTTACTATTTAGTGATGTATTTCCACTTCTTTTAAGGCTCTACAACCTTCAAATGAACGTTTTGGTCTGCTCAACTATCCTTTCCTATTTTTCCCTCTTCTTCAAGAGCTCAATCCAATACTCAATTTTCAATCTTCATTTTCCTGATGTCTTTGATCAGATCATATTTCCACCTATTTTTAGGTCATCCTCTTCTTCTGGTAGAAAAAAACCAGAATTTTGTAGATAATGATACAAAATCCACTATACATGTGTGTTACTACATCATGTTACTCTCATATATAATTAGGCCCTTCAAATATATTTTATTCTCCGAAAGGTATCTGAGTTTTGTTTCAATGATGGAAATTTACAAAATAAAACTTTTTGAACCTTCTATTACATTTTTGGAGATGAGCTCATCTGGGAACCTTCCCCCCTTAACACAGTTGGTCAGAAATGGGGATAACATTGAAATCCAAGTAAAATTAAGTTTACTATTTGATATTCTATGAAATTTAATCATATCAGTCATCATCTTTCTGTTTGTTAATAAACATTTAAAAATATTAGAATGTTTTCCCATGCACAAGATCACACTTATTTATTTAATATTAAAAACAGTAAAAGTTGTATGTGATATTTAGGATATGTGAAGAGGTTTGTGGAGGGGACTATATTTAGTGCACAGAATTAAAGCAAGGGGCCAACTCAGCATTTGCTCAATGGTTCACGAGAAATTAAAACCTGATTGTGTTGGGGTCTTCTACAGAGAAAGCTGGTAACAATAATTTTTACAGACATATTCAGTCTTTTAAAGTTATGCCATTCCAAAGGTAACTAATGTGTTAGTATCATTACTATAAATGCATATGTAATGAAACACACAATTCAGGGCTTCCCCAAATACAATATGAAGCTATACTCACCTTTAAAACAATGATTTACAAAGTGTAATGCTCACATGGTTACAACTAGATAACACATGTTCAGTACGCAGATTTTTTTTTAAAACAATGAATTGAAAATAAGAAGTATTATGAGTAATGACAAGCAGTTCACAAATAATGCATTAAATATATATAATTTATTAAGACTTCTAATTTGCAGTAAAAGGTTTATTCTTCCCCTTACTGATTGTCAAAATCTTTGTGTAGAATAAGGTTACCAAAATGTTATTGACAATCAAAACAATTTGATTCTAATTAATATTGTGAAAACTGTATTCCTAATGTTTCAATGAAAGAAATAGAAATATTCAATAACAACAGTTTTTTTCATATTAGTATTTTGGAAACCTCATTCTACATAAAATAGTTATATGCAAGATTTTTTCAAATATTTAAGATATGTTATGCACTAAAATGCACTTGATATTTAATTATCATTTCAGGTGTTAACAAGGAAGTTGATGTTAGAAAGCAAAAATTATAAGCATCAATTGACTTCTGAAATTGCACGTCACAAGAGAACTTCAAAAGAATTGGATATAGCCTTGGAGAGAATTGCACAACTGGAATCAGTGTTAGTAGCAAAGGAAAAGTACATAGCAGTGAACTTAGCTCGAGCACATTCTAATCTGCCTGTCTCAGCTGCAACTCTTGGACCACAGAGCAGGTAATATGCTTCCCTTTTAGCAGGGTCCTGTTTTGTTAAAGAGAGCACCATTTAAGTGATTTCTGCTTAAATATTGTAGATAATATCTTACAAATTTTAGTTATCAATCTTCTTAACTCTGTTTTTCAAGACAGATTGTTATTATCAGAAATTTCTCTGCTATATTTCTCCACTGTCTTTGTCACTCTTGCCATGACTTCTCTTTGTACATGTCATCCTTGTACATCTCATGTAGTTCTACTCACTTCTTTTCCTGAAAAACAGTAGCACCTTTCAATTTCTTCCTCAATATGCCATACTCAGTTCCATTGCTTGTGCAAATACAGTGTCTGTCTGTTATTTTTAATCATCTTTAAGTACCTTTATATTCTTATATCTTTATATCTTTTCTCACTTCACTTAGATTTTTTCACTCACAATATTTTGATCAAGAAAACAATGTTTCATAATAAAATATTTAGTGAAAGGACTAGCATTTAGTTTTACTTTTTAGTGTACTACTTACTTATGTTGTAATTATAGAGAAAGAATTGAAATGAATTGTAATCCTCTGTTACTTCTATTTTTAGTTGTCATAGTAGTCTGTAATTCATCTAGAGGACTGCCAAGCAGTATCACCTACGCAATCCTGCGGCACTATCCAGCGGCCAGAATTGAGAAGGAAGTAGGAAAGTGGTAGGGTTTAGATTGCTTCACAGGGGTGTGAAGCAGGCAAAATTATTTTATTGGAACAAATTTCACATGAGGTTGTCTGGGAATTTAACTCGGGCATCCTTAGTGAAAGGCAAGCTACTTTTCTCTGAGCCATGAGCCACCTTCTCTTTGAATGGTTATCTTCTATTCTTTTATTATTTTCAATTTAATTGTTCTAGAAGTGTCTAGTCGTACTTCCCAATTTGCAGATTCTATTTCTTTGAAGCTATTGAGTCAATTGTTGTTTTCAACATTGTTTTATTGTGACAAACATTCTTTCTTTTCTAAATGCACTTTAGTTTTCCTTTAGTAATGTATCAGCTCTAACTTCTCATTAATAATTTTCTTCTTAAAACCCACATTTAGAATGTCTCTATAACTTTCACAAACTTTACTTCTGTCTTTTTTAAATTTTGAAATTATTGTGGCATTTTTTCATGCATTTGGTAAAGAGGTGCTTTTCCAGCATTTATTCATACAAGTAGGCATTCTCTTCAGAAAGAATCCTCATGAATATTTAAACAGCTCTGCATTTAAACCATCTGGACATTCCTGGCTCTCTTGATTTAACTGCTCTCTTTAGTTCTAAGACAGAGACTTGAGATTGGAATCACCTTCCAGGCTGCTGAAATGCAGTTTCCGAGAAGAATGCAAGGGTGCAGGAGAGAAGATAAAATAAAAACACAGACATCACAAAAAAATTAAACATTTCGCCCTTTGTGATAAACATAGAGAAAAGTGTAGAATCTATTTGTGAGTGCATGTTAAGATGGAAGTTGGCCAATATCCAAAAGCTATTATATTCACCAGAATTTTTTCAGCAGAGTGGAGGGGAGGGGGGATTATCAGAGACTTCAAGATCCCTCTTGTCTGCAAACAAAAAACTATTTCCTCTTAGAACCACAGGTTCAGAAAGTTTCAGGGAGGAGAGAGTTGAACCCTCAATTCTTCAATTGCATGCCCATGTATCTGGAAGGAGGAGGAAGAGATGTAAGAAGACTTTTATGTTGGTGGAAATGTACAATCAAGAGGCCAGAACAGGGAAATGCCTTAACGTTCCTCTCCTTGTCTTTATAATTCATCCAAGTACTGTTGTTTTTGTGTACTGTTTGTGTACATTGTTTTTTCAGTTATATTATTTCAGTATTTCAAATGATGGCTATAGTGTTAGTAGGATGGAGCGAGCAATGTAATAATATTACATACATTACTAACAATACAAGATAGTATGGTCTATTGTAGCTTCACTTGTTTTCCTTCCTTTTTATTATCTTCTTCCACATCCTCTTCTTTCTCTTCTCCTCCTTCCTCCTCCTCTTCTACTTTTTATTCTTCTCCTTCCTCTTATTCTTTTTTTCTTCTTCCTCTTCTCATTATTTATCTACTCCTTCCTCTTCTAATTTTTTCCCCTCTTCTTTTACTTCCCCTTCTCCCTCTTCTTCTTTTTGTTTCTCTTCTCCTTCCTTTCCTTCTTCCTCTTCATCATCTTCTCTTTCTTCTTCCTCCTCATTTTCTTCTTCCTCTTCATCTTCCTTCTCCTCTTTGTCTTCTTTGTCTTACTCTTCGTCTTCTTCATACTCTTTGTCTTACTCTTCATCTTCCTATTTGTCTTATTGGTTTTACTTCTTCTTCTTTCCTTTCTTCTTCTTTTTAGATATTGCTTTCTAATCCATTAATTTTTGGAAGAGTTGTCTAATTATTTTTTCTATAAAAGAATGCACTGGGAAGTTTAAGAAGGAAGCGACTGAGGGGATACATTGATAAATCAAAGGATCAGGCCATACCGAATCACCAGGGACCTATACCTTAAATGTTCATGATGATAAAGAAAATGATGATCTTTAAAATATGCATTTTACAAGCTCTTTTTCTTTTGAAGTGTTGGCCAGCGGCACTTGTTTGACAGCTTGTGAAATTTTTTTATTTTTTTTCTGGGCTTGAACAATGAATTTGTAATTAAAAATTGTTATAGTTGCTGAAATCTGTTAGGTTTTACTCCATTTTTATTCAATACGTTTTCTTTGCAATTTCCCACAGTGACTCCTACAGTTGTATCTCTGTTTCTGGCTTTAAAAACTCTGCACATAATAACACAATAAATGAAAACTAATGAGGGAGTTTTACATATTCTGTAAAGGAGATAATATAGATTAAACACCAAGATACAAAATATACATCTAATGTTATATAAGACATAATTTAAATATTTTTGGGAAATATTTAAATTGTGTTGCTAAATACAGAAAGAATTATATTGCTTGAATTTTTGTCAGCATAATAAGATAGAAATATTTTAAAATTAAATGTAATATATAAAATATTTGAAGTTGGACTATGACTTAAGAGCTTACTCCTGAAGTATTTAAAACTCTTTTACTACAAACATTTTGTTAACTTTAAAAATCCTGAGCAATTATTTCATTAAACTTGCTCAAATTAAATGTCTGAATTGAAAACTTGTTGGCTACAGGTTCCCGTTATTCCAGAGTCAAACACAAAGTGCTGCTGCAAGAATTCCATCTCAGAAACATTACAGTTTTGAGCCACCTGAACATGATCAGAAAGACCATTCTGAGGGAGATGGAAATGGGGTTGAAGAAAATGAAGTTTCTGTGCAAGAAGAGCAAAGGCATAAAGAACCAATCCTTGAAACGAGTGAAACCAATAATTTTTCTGAACAAAATGCTCACGGAATATCTTGTGGGAAAGAAGAAATTATAGAGGAAGAAGAAGAGGAAGAAGATGATACAGATGATGATTATCATCAATATCTGTTAAGTGAATCAACTGTAAGTTTTATTTCCTAGCATTAGGCAAAGTCAATGCAGTTTAGTGTAGACATCCATTTCTATTAGTTCATGTGAGATTCAGTTGCTTACAATGCACTCACCACACTACACTGGCATTGCACAAGTACTTAGGAAGTCTCTCATAAGCAAGTCACTGCGAATATTTGACTTATTAGATGAAGAGTATAACAAGCTTGAAGGAAAAAATAATTTATTTATGGAGGGCTTTCACTGTCTGTCAAGTTTTCTTTATTTTGCTTATTTTTTTTATCATTATGTATTATTTTTCGTAATCTTAAAATTAATAAAAATATGTTTTGAAACAGAACAAGTACAAGGCAATAATGTGGAACTATAGTGAAATTAAATTGTTAAAAGAAGTTTTAAGGTGAAAACAGAAGAACAAAATGCCTAAAAGTTGACATTTTTTTGCTGTACATGATGAAAATATTAATTTTTCCCACAAAAGAAGAAAATTCTTGAAATTACTTCCCCCTCTGAAGCAAAGATATATCCAAGTTACTTTCAAAACATCCAAGATATCATCTGTTGATTTTTTGTGAAAATGTTATTCAAAATGCCTCTTCAAATTCCTCAGAATATATTTATTAACATCTGAAAATCAACAAAGAGTTTTGTTGTATAAGTTTCCCTTATGTTTGTCATAGAAGTTCTACATATCTATTGAAAGGCTTTTGAGATGTTGAGAAGCATTGTTTTGTTTTATAAGATGGGAAGCTGAAAATTCATAACCTATAATTGATTTTATAAAAGTTCTCAACTGAGCAAAAAAGATGACAAAAATTGGATTACAGAAGAGTACAAAAAGAATATTCTTTAACAAGTAAAAGATGTAAAGGTATGTACAAACCTTGAGACACAAACTTAACCAGAAAGTTCTTATAATAAAGCACCAAACTTTCATTATCTATTTTATTAAATTTATATAATGTGTATATGTATTGAACATCTGGTACAAGAATAATACTTGCCCAATTCTTGCAATGAAGATTTGAAAAACTATCATAAGAATTTGAAGATGCGTTCACAAACATGAGATGAATAATTCAGAAAAGCAAATCTTGAATTCTCAACAAGATGAAGGGCATGTACCCAAAGACGTTCCTGACAGAGAAAGTGATGTCACGAATAGTCACAAATGTGCATGTTACTTTCTTATCAGCCTAGCAAGTGTTGCAGTTTAGGGAAAATCAAGGATCAACTGCTCTTTAATTTTGAATTGATTTACCTCTGAACTCACCACCCATGTTTGACCTGAAAGACATCACAGTTGAAATGGCAGTGTCACTATGATGCAATTGAGAGGAGCAACTTCCACAGAATTTGGAGTCAGTAAATGATCAATTCTAAAGGGGAGACAGTAAACCATTGTAAAGGAACTGAATTGGTGGTCAGTATCTGATGCAGTTGTGCACTTGTAATAACTGCATATCTACTAATTTAATGTTGAAAATAACATAAACTGAACTAATTGAAAGTAGGGACTAATGACGCAATAAATAATGCACATTCACACAATAATGAACAAAAGTCATTTATGAAAATGAAAGTATTCAGATAATCAAACTGTTAAATGCTCTTATATATTACTCTTTAGGTGTAGTTCTGTGAGTTAATTTGTTAAAGTATGTGACTAAAATGAAAAATAATGAATTATTTTTAAGGACTGTAAAAATAATTGGTGATAGAGATTCCAAAACTTCAATAGAAGACTACAAAAATGGCAGTCCATCATATTTTATTATGAAGTTTTACTATGAAGAACACTTTTTCAAAACACTGTTCATTCTCTTCAGAGAGGAAAATGGCAGCCAATTAATTATTTGATGAAAAAATAGCTAGGAAGCTATTACAGTAAGAAGTGTAGTGTGTCTAATTCTTCACTTTACATTTGTAATCTTTTACTGCATTCATCATGATTCCATGAGGAACATTTCTGATAGAATCTTTAAATTTTTGTTGTTAAATGAAGATATTTTTTAAAAGATTTCTGATTTGAACAATTCCTCAGTTTCTTAATAAATTGTAATATGTTCATTTAATGCTCTACGTAAATAATATATGATATTAAAAATGTAAATACAATGTCAAATCAGTTTTAAGGCACTTATTTAGAAATGCAAGATATTTATTTTTGTGCGCATGTGTGTGTGTGGGTGGGGGAGGAACTATGGTCCCCTGAAAATTTCAAAAGGGCACTGGTATTAAATTTTTAAAGTACCTTTATTTAATAAAACATTTTCATAAATATGATTAATTCCATATTTTCCTCTTTTTGAAGCTGACAATTTGGGGAATTGATACAAATTTGGGAGAGAGTTTGTCTAAACCATCTGGCAACCTTGTATATGATTCAATATAAAATAAATTGTATTTATTGATTATATTATATATTTTTTAAATTTATAATGTCATTCCCCTTGTAATGTTTAATTTCTTTTATTGTAAAATATGCCAATGTAAATAAGAAAGCGTAATGTAAAGGGGGCCCAGAGGGGTTCTGAAATGTAGTCTATCCCCCTTCTTGTTTTAGGCTGCGCATGCCTGGGATATTGCTAAATGGAGAGAGGCCTAATTGCTCTTGCTAAGAGGCCTTCCGTCCACATCTCTTTTAATTTCAAGGTTCAGTCTTTCAAGGCCAGAATTTTAAGTGCTTTTGTTATTCAGTTCAGTAGCCCTTGGACATAATATATCAATGTGACTTTATTGTTCTACAGAATTGATGATTAGCGTATGCACTAAAATTAACAAGAGTACCAGTAGTCTACAGAAGTCAGACAAATTTTCTTCTTAAAGTAATGTACTGTTTGCAATAGTTTCCCTTTATTTTCCACCTCTAATTTTTCTAGTGTAACAATTGGGGAATGCGGAAACATACATGCAGATTTGATCTTTTTCGTGGTGTGATATTGTTTGATTCATTATAATCTAGCAAAATTGCACAAACAAAGTAACCATGCATAATTAAAGGGATAGCCAAGGTTTGCGTACAAAATATAGACAACTTTTTTCCCATTCTTTGGATTAACAAGTAGAAATTTTTCAATACGAGGGGGTGGGGGTGGGTGGGAGTTATCTTCATAACAGTAACAGGTAATGAAAAATAGTAAATTATCTTTAAAGAATTTTTCTTCATTAGTACCTATATAAAATATCGAAAATAGAGTTTTGCTGCCTTGTATTCATTTGAGAAGCACTTTCACATTATTTCTAGTCTTCATTTTTATTTTCTGCATCATGTCTTTATGTTGTTCAATGTCAAGAGGAAGGTTTTATTTTATTATCTTTTTTAATCTGTGGATCATTGTTTAGAATAATCAATGCTTTCAGTTTCTCATGTTTATTTATCATTTTTAAGGAATGCCCTTCTTATACATCGCAGATGACTGCTAGCAAGAGCATAGAAAATGTTACAAAGGATTTTAAAGGTAAGACAATTTTCTTCTTAAGAAGAAGAGTTTTTCATCATTATATCAAAAGTTTTGATGCTCTTTGGGAATACTATTTGATATTTTTGACATTCGATAAGCCAACTTTTTTGGGTGGTTGTCAGGTTTTCTTAATCCTTTGTTTCCAATACTTTCTCTCTGAATGAAGGATATCTCTTCCTACTCTTTCATATTTATGAAGGACAGAAGTGTAAAAAACAAAGCAACTTGTTTAATTTTGTTGTCAATATAATATATACATTTCTACCTTCTGATAGAACAACATATAATATTTTATTTTGTAATTTATCATATATCTATTCAAGTAATTTTAGACAAGAAAATTCTATAAAATGATTGATAATTTCTCACAAGGTACAAATTATACTAATTTTAAATGTTGTGTTTCTTATTTTCTGGACAAATTTAGTTTTTTTTCCTAATCATAAAGGTAAAATTTGGTTACATTACTAGAAGAGGAATGTTGCAGGCAAATGCTTCTAAATTCTTCTACGATCTCAGGTGAAGAGGGGTCTTTTACACTGTGACATCTTTCCTGCTATATGTGACCATTGATGTGAAAATAACAGAATTGAAATGGAAAATTTCAGAAGAGAATACTTCCAACAGATTCAGATCCTGAAGGGGAAATGTTATTAACAGAGAGAAAAATTCATTTCAATTGAAGCCCTGGTAGAAATGCATGGGATGGCTTCCAAACAAGTATAAAATAATTAAATGTGATATTCTGCGTATGTTCTTAGTGCCTAGATTATTTTGTTGTCATCAAATGTGCTTGCATTTGCATATTAATGTAAAGTGCAAGTGGCTTTTATTTTTATTTTACAAATTGGTATACGCAAACATTCTGCAGTGTTTAAATTATTGTTTTGAAAGTGAAAATAGCTTCATGCTGGGACCCAATTTTATATATTTTTGAGAATCTGTGCTGCAGATTGGGGATACTTTGAGAGTTAAACTTCTATAAGTGTAAGAGAATGTTCAAAAGGTCTCATTTTATTGTTTATGGCTGAAGAAACATACATCCTTTATGAGACAGAATGGTCTCTTACTTGGTTTTATGAATCTATGATGCGTTGACCCCTGGTCATGCAAAATGGTAATGGGTGTAATAACAAAACATGTTGCGAGTTGCATGAGCACTGAAGGCATTTGAAGGGTTGAGAGGCCAAAAAAATACGAGTCAGTTTGACTTGAAACGAGAAAAATTGCATTTGAAGATTCAACACCATTCCTCTGGCCTAGAACCATCATCATTAAATTTGGTATATTTATGTATTTCTGTCCTTACAAAAATGTTTGGTAAAATTAACATTTAACTTGAGATATCTTTTTATACCAGACAGTGTATAGTTTTAAGTAAGTTAATTATGACATTTAATTCTTCCTGCTTTGCCTTTTTCCAGCATCGCTTTTTTCCTTTGCCGCAAATCTATTTACTTGAATATCATTTGAGCCTAATAATTTTTTAAAGCTATGTTTGATTGCAAATAAATATTTAAAATACTTTGCCAGATGAAAACAGTATCTCAAAAATATTAATACTTACCTCTGTATTTCCACCTGACTCTGTACTTCTTTTCATTCTGCTTGCTCATTTTTTTATTGATATCTTTCTTATTTTGCAGATACATTCAAAGAAAATGAAACAAAGCTGAAAGACATTACAAACAATTTTGGAAGTCCACAAGATGTGAATATTCCATGCCCACAAGCACTATTTCTTCCAGATGTAGAAGTACATGACGAGATTAAATCAATAAAGAAAAGAAATCCATTACGACGGTATTCTGTATCAGGAGACAGTGAATTAATTGTCAATGACCATGTCACTAACAACACTCGTAGAGGATCTCTGAATGGAGCAGGAGATAGTGGTAAGTAAAGAATGTAATTTGTTCTCAATGTGATTTTGAGGAAGTTTCCCCTTCTCACTTCCCAAGTATACTGTAACAATGTTGTTGTCACATTGTAGGGACTGCAAGTTCAGGTAAACGAGTAATTCAGAAGTCTCCAATGATTCAGAATTCTGATGACCCAATAGATTTTGGATGCAATGAGCATGCCAAACGAAATCATTTCTGTGGAAATAACTCTGAAATGACAAATGTAATAACAAATTCTTCAGAAATTTCCCAATCAGATATGACTGCAGAGGAACATCAACTGCATTTCAAAGCAATCAATAGTACTTGGAATGAGATACAGAATAGAATAAGAGATGAAACCATCAGAGCACAATCAGTAATTGAAAAATATGATGAAGAACAAAGAAATGTTGGGAAGCAAATAGGAAAGAAGGCTGGAATGTCGGAATCATATGATAAAAATCACTTATTAGCAGCTCTGAGAGCTATTGAAGGGGGTGCTGACCCTGTAGAATTAAATGATCACAAAGATAAAGAATTCCACTTACCTATTTGCAAATCCAAGAAAGTGGAATATGGTAATGTTTCACAAGCTGTAGAAAACATTCATCGAGGTATTCCAACTCGTGCTAGCAGTTCAGTACCTTCCATTGAGAAACCGGCAAAGGAAGGTAATGTCTTTTGGGAGAATGATAGTATCTCACCTCCAAATTTGGTACGTTCAGAAATGGATATGCCAAAACCAAAGTCAGACATAATGCGTGAAATATTTGGTCATCATAAATAAGTGTAAAATGAAACTTTGATGGAGACAGACAAAAGTTAAAAGTAACAAATTCTAGAACATAAATTATATAATTTATTCTGATAGCCTACAATAAATATTCAGTACCTGGCAAGTGTAATTGTAATGTACCTTCATGAGTAATAAAATTATAACTCAGTTTAATTATTAATGATATTTGTCATAGGTATTCACAATGTCCATACTGTTCATGATCTGGGTGCCTTCATGAGTTCACAATTCCAGGAGGAGCTTCTTCTTAAATAATTAATCATCACATGTAGAATAAGAAAAATAACATAGGCTGAATTCTGAAAACAATTTTGGAATGATAACTCGTTTTAAAATATACTAACAACTTTCCTGACATGATTGTATAAAAGAAGATTTTTAAAATGGTGCAAGTAGTTTTTGAAAATAGAAGCAATTATTAAAAAACAGCATATAAAATGAGAACAAAAAAAAAAAGTTTGCTAAAATTAGGATGGATACCAAAACTTTGAGATATTTCTCCTTTGTTTACGTTTTTTCCTTTGTCACCAAGGATGAAGTCAATGATTAGCCACAGGCAACTTGTTCATGTTCTTAACCCTTTCAAGCCACAATTATTTATGGGTACATTGCTTTATTTGAAATTGAAAGATTTCATGTAGTGCCTTAGATGATGAATTTGGTTTCTGTTTGTTATTTTCTGTCTTTATTACATTGTAGACTGGTATATAGATATTTTGCTAGGCTCTTATACTGGAAATTAGTGGAAAAAACAACTACAATATTGAATATAATACAAGTGTGTAAAACATGTTATGATTGTCACTCTCTATGCTATCTCATCCAGTCACATATTTACCATTTTTGAGGCTCGAAGAAAAAATATTTTTGAGGCCGCTCTTTTTACTGTCAGTAATAACATATTTGAATTTGGAGATTTTAATATTTTTATTAAAAACTAATTAAACAAATAAAACATGCATTCAAATAATAATTTTATTAAAGTTTTTAATTTAAAAGTTTATAACAATCATCTATAATATAATATTCTGTTTTTGATTTATTTAGTAAAAAACTGGTAATAATTGCATGTGACATGTGGAAGAGAAGATCACATGCACTTGTTTTCGGGAGATTCAGAATCCATTCCAACATTTTAACTGAAAATTGTTGAAAAATGTATAAAAGTTAAAGAAAATAAAATTAAAAAAAATGTGTGATTAGCAACATTTGTAGAAACAACACATTTTCGTTCTCAAGTTATAGAAAACTTATATTGGTAGACAAACTCCAGATTTGACTTTTCTGCATTTCTAACAAAATAGTAACTCATCCCTAGCTCTCCTCAAGCTAAAGGATGCAACAAGCTGCACTGCAAGCAAAAGGAGAGTTCAACAAAATGTATGCACAGTGAAGTTACATTTACATGCTGAAGCAAAACAAGGGTCCATATCAGTATTTGACCAATGGAACAGAGAAACTGAACAAAAACCTGTTTGAGATGGGGGCCATTTACCCTGAAGCTGAAGTACATCATTTGTTACAAGCATATTAAATCTTTATAAAAAATTATACAATACAAATGTATTCATTATATATCACTGTTTTGTTAAAATAAAATTTTTCTTTTTGATGATTAGTATAGTCTCTAATTGTATAGAAACAGTTATGCAACAGAAAATATTTTACTTTTAACTTAAATTTGTGAACCAACTTTAATTGTTTAATGTTATCTGGCAATGCGGAGTCTGGCACTGGCAATGTCTCGGCGGTGATGGTGTAACAGCTTATCAGACAGTTGTACCCAAGTTCGCGGGAGAGCGGATCGAAGCCGTGGATTTTGAAGGGCGAGAAAATCCTTCGTACGCCTTCCTTCGTCGGGGAAGTAAAGCCGACTGTCCATGTTAGTAGATTTACTGCATGTAAAAGATCAAGCCTAAATGAAACCTCTGAGCTAAATTCAAATCGCCTATTTCGTCGCCCGAGTGATACCTCCTTTCTCCGCAAGTGGGCGAAAGAAGCGTAGTGAAATTTGAGTTTTCAGACGTAACAGCGAGCCTGCTGGCCCGAATCTTGCCACGTAAAATACGGCATCAGTTCAAATTCAATGCGTTATAAAATAACGTATTCGTACATGTATTGAATGGGGATTTCTTGTAGTGAACCGTTGATAGATACAATTGATGAAAGTGATTTCTGCGACATGTGTAATTATGTAATATATGTGTATTGCTTGAAAATATGTGCCCACCGTTTTACTTAGGTTTTTATTTCTTGGCGCGCGAGGCCTAGTCTTCATGAAATTTTGGTGTCTCACGGTTTTTCGCTTCGTTCTCGGTCGTGCCACTACTCGATATGGTCGCGATCTTGCGACGTCTAGCGGTACAACTAAATGCAAAACAATCGATAATATCTTACCGGAAAGATCTTGCTCAGATCGTTCTGACAATGTATTACCCCTCTTTGCTCTTGCTGGTGTAAAGGTGACCGCAAGAAGCAGAAGGGGCCATATCAGTATTTGCCCAATGGAACAGAGAAACTGAACAAAAACCTGATCGAGATGGGGGCCATTTACCCTGAAGCTGAAGTACATTTTTTGTTACAAGCATATTAAATCTTTTATAGAATCCCATCCCATCATTGCTGAAAGATATTGCGGAAACGTATTGCTAATGTAAGGCCATATAAGAAAGTGGCGAAATACCGCGAGGTATTCCGTCGTGAAGACTAGGCCTCGCGCGTCAAGAAATAAAAACCCAAGTATAAGTAAGTCAGTTTTGACAAAAATTACAGATTTGTAAATAAATAGGCAACTCAATGAAGAGAGGCTTGTAGGGATCACTACAATAGCATTTTTTCCTTGTTCGAATCATTTTCATTTGCAATCTAAAGGTCTGGGTACTTCAGGATGAGCTTCCCCAGAATATAACCCATATCTCAGGAGGGAAAGATAAAACTCGGAGCTTATCATTTTCACTGAGCATTTTTATTAGTGAATTGATTTTGTTGCGTCCTATCATGGCCTTATTGTAAGTTCGATATTGGTTTTTATCTCTTTTAATTTACTAAATAAACGACGCACTTGTACGGCCTGAGTTGTCAGTCCCATTTTATTACAGTTTAAAATTATTTAGGTTTATTAGGTCCAAAAACAGTAATAACTATATGTGACGTATGGGAGAGAAGATCATCTGCGCACGTTTTCTTGAGTTCCAGAATCCCTTCCCATCATTTTAACTATAAATACTTGAAGGAGAGTAAAAGTTAAAGATAAATAAATATATAAAAAATTTAAAAAGCGCGAGATTAGCAACATGAAAAACTAGATATTTTCGTTCCCGAGTTCTAGAAAACTTATTTGCAACGGTAAACCAATTGCAGGCTTGATTTTTCTGCAATGCTAACAAAATAGTAACCCTTACCTCTACTCCTACCACAAAAAGCAAAAGGAGATATGTGTGCATAGTGAAGCTACATTCACGTCCAAAAGCAAAATAAGGGGCCATCTCAAAATTTGCTCAATGTGTCAGAGAAACTGGATAAAAACCTGATCGAGTTGGGAACCATTTACCCGGAAGTTGAAGTACATTTTTTTACTAGCATATTGAGTCTTTTTGAAAAAATATACAATACAAATGTAAATTAATTCATTATATATCACTGATTTGTTAAAATATTTTTTTTTCTTTTTGATGATCAGTGTAATCTCTAATTGTATAGAAACAGTTATGCAACAGAACATATTTTACTTTTAACTTAAATTTGTGTACTGACTTCAATTGTTTAATGTCATCTGGCAATGCATTGTACATGTATATAAATAAGTATATGAATTTTATGTGGATTTCTGGTAGTAAGCTGTTGATACAGATACTTGATGAACGTGATTTCTATGACGCGTGTTGCAATTATAAATATGAGTATTGCATGAAAATATGTTCTCATCGTTGAGTAACTCAGTTTTGATAAATATTACAGATTCGTAAAAAAATAGGCAAGACAATTGTAAGATCCCAAGCTCAATGAAGAGAGGCTTCTTGCAGGGATCTCGCGGATGGCATTTTTTTTTTATTCTTCGAATAATTTTCTTTAGCATAAAGGTCTGGGCTGACTGAATTTGAAAGAATTCTGAATGCGTAACATGAACTTAATTTTGTGTTTAATTTTATTATGAGTACATTCCATTTGAGGTTTGACTGAATTTCGGACCTAAGATCGAACGTCGCGGGACCCCATATTGAATTGGTAAAGAATCGGAAAGATAAGTAAATAATGTCCTTTCGTGTCAGTATAGTATTTCTACTTTTTGAGATCGATGTATAAGGTACGAGAACGGAATTCGTGGTATCCAATCTGGGGCGATACCACGAATTCCGTAAGAAGGTAATTTTGATAGCAATATGTTGTGGCCAATAACGTCAAAAGCTTTCGTAAGATCTAAAAATAACCTATTGGTGCTTCATTTTGGTCCATTGATGAAGCAACATCTTAAAGAAAAAAACGGCAATTTCTATAGATTTTGAATTTCTATAACCGTGTTGTGAGACTGAAAACGCTTCGTATTTCCTGAGAAAAGTTTCCATTAGCAAACAGAAAAGCCTCTAATATTTTTGAGAAAACTGATAAAAGAGAAATTGGATGGTAATTTTAAATTCCATTTTTGCTCCCTTTTTTAAAAAGTTGCTTAATTTTTGCTGCTTTGAAACTATCTGGAAATATTCCTGTACAAAAAGAAGCATTTAAAATGTGAGTTAACAGGTGTATAAAGGTATGTACACAAGTTTTCAACAAACAATCCGGAAATTCATCTAAACCTGATAAATATTTATTTTTCATTTTACTAACTATTCTCAGGATTTCGTTAGAAGAAGATTCGGAAATAAACATCGTGTTGAAGATTTTTTGGGAAGGGAATGATGTTGAATTTTATGTTTTTAGTCCCTTCGTGAGTTCAGCAGCAATTTTAGAAAAGTGTTAGGAAAGTTATTCACTAGAACTAATTATACATTTGTATAATAATATTTTCATGAATGAATATGTAGATATGAATTTTTTAGAAAATTTGCAATTATGTTTAGTAATTTTTGAGGCTCCGAACTTTAGCTTAATGGTAAATCCGCCACTGACTTCATCTGCACCCTAACCTCCGCCCACACTCCTGACCTTGCCTTTGCAAATTCCACCTTCGCCACCGCCTCTACCACCGCCCCTCCCTCCGTCGTCCCTCAGACCTTGATTTCCGCTTCCGTCCTCGTCTCCGCCTCCACCGTCGTGTTGTCTCCATTCCGTCCTCGCTAAGAGATGTTCCATCCAGTCTTAGCCTTCGTCGTCTCCACCCTCGTTTTCACTTCCGTCCATGCGTTCGCCCCGGTGGCACCACCACAGCCGACTCTAATAGAAAGATACTTAAGTTGACCGTGCTTCCACCCTAGCCTCTTCCCTTGCATCCGCCAATACAAATTCAATGATAACTAAATTACTAATTCGAATACAGGCAGGAAAAACTAATTAGCCTCTACACCTACGAGTGGTATCGAAGGTTTGGTTTGATACCCAGGAAAAATGAAAAAATACAAAAAACTGAAAAAGTTTGGATTTTGACTGACTAATGTTATACCTGATGTTACGACTAAATTTTCACGCACTACGCTTACGCTTCTATGCTTACGACACTGCTGATGCCATGCATAAGGAATAAATAAGCTTCAGTATTCACGTGTGCTGTTTCAGAACAGTCAATTTTTACTGCTCCAGGACACCATTTTCCACACATTTCTTGCTCTGCTGCACTTCAAGCCATTAGTACGGTATATTTATGAAAAAGGTACATAGTGTTACCATCTGGGAGTACAATAAAGTACCAGAGAGATTTACTCTCAACCAAATTAACTAAAGATTTTCAAAACCTTATACTTTTTTCGGGATAAATTACTTTTTAAGAAAGTTGTCTGAGGAAGTATTCGATATAATTATTGATGAAATAAAAATATATTTTCACATACTTCCCTTCAATGTGTCATGGTTTTATATATGCAACTTTCTGATATCATTCAAATTAAATAATGCGTTACCTGGAAACAATGTTATCAATCCAACAAATAAGAGTGATGATTCTAGATTGTAGAAAGTTGATATGAATAGGAAAAACACCACACCAACGAGAATTTATGAAGCAACTTTAACGAGCATGCATGCTGGTTTCTGAAATGTGCAGGGAGACTGTAAAGCAGGAATGCTCAACTCACCAGTGGCAAAATCCAGTAATTTAACTTTAGAATTAGATTAAATGAAACGATTATGTAACTTAGACTTGTATGGCAGCCTCAATGTTCATATGTTTATTTTATCTTCAAAATAAACACATTGTGTATCGAAACTTCTTGCCGTGGTAACCAATATATAAC